CAGTACTCAGTACGACTGCACATGCATAACAGATCTACGAAGAGTCTAGAAAAAAGGTCAAAGTCTGATGCGCATATGCATCGATGGATCCTGATTTTTTTTTATTACGGTTTTGCACGTTCCGGATGGACCACACTTTTCGAAAAGTGGTACGGCCATGGTCGTACCAGTCGTAGCGGGTGCTACGCCCCTGCAACTTCACGAGAAGGTGCGCGCGTGTATGCATGCTACACAGCAGGGAGTGAGTGACTGAGTGTTCAACATTAGAGACTAGAGTGCTATCTTTCAAAGTAACCAGTTGCTCATCCTTCCTGGGAACTGGGTCAGCACTGCGCAGCACTGCTCAGCAGATCAGCGGGTGTCACATGCACAGACTCACAACTCACAGCACACCATTTTTATTTCCGCTCCACCTCAACTAAAGAGAGTTACGGCCATGGCAGTACCTCCAAGAGTACAAGAGTACTCTTGCCTTGGTACCACAGTAGCAACGTCAGTAGCAGTCTTTTAAAAAGATCACATCATGGACAGATATTTTGGTGTTCTCGCATGAGGACACTGACTGAGATTGTGAGAAGCAAAGCATACTACTAGTACTACTTACTAGTACTGGCTGGACACTGTATTAATCGTATGTGTGGAGGATTCCTGAAGCTACAGCCTGGAAGCTACAGCCTACACTACAGCCTGCACTACAACCTGCACTACAGCCTACACTACAGCTTACACTACACTACAGCCTACACTACAGTCTACAGCCTACACTACAGCCTACACTCTACAGCCTACACTACAGCCTACACTCTACAGCATACTACAGCCTACACCATGTACACTCTACAGCCTACACTACAGCCTACAGGTTACACTCTACAGCCTACACAGTACACTACAGCCTACACTCTACAGCCTACACTACAGCCTACACTCTACAGCCTACACTACAGCCTACACTCTACAGCCTACACTACAGCCTACACTCTACACTACAGCCTACACTCTACACTACAGCCTACACTACAGCCTACACTCTACAGCCTACACTACAGCCTACACTCTACAGCCGGCCTACACTACTAGTACTACTACTAGTAGTAGTAGACCCAGGTGCTCGAAGTCCGTACACTTTTACAGTGTGTGTTTGCCGAGCTGAAACTCACACTAGCAATGATCACTTGCCAGAATCCTGCTCGTGGATGGAAGGTATCTTGTCCAAGTTTGTTCTCAGGCCAGGCTCGATTGAACCAGGCCATCTTTCGATCCGATCTGTTTCTCTGGAGTTCGCTCATTTTTCATATCAAATTTTGGTGTCGCAGAGGGTACTCTAAGTCCGTACTGATCAGAGGTGACTCGAAATACACACATATTTCTGCTAATTGCTAACTTGCAATCCCTCGGTTACGACGAAAGCACCGAAGGGATATGTTTGGCATGTGCCTCCAACAGTATTTCTTGCAAAAGCGTAGTTTGTTGCCGCAATGCAAGCTGTTTTTAGTCGGCTCAGAGGAGAAGCAGCTGCGCTGTGAAAACCGCGGGAAAACAGTGGTGGAGATGCCAGGAGTGTCAACCTTTCTGCAAGGATTGTTGGTTCTCTGTAAATTCTTCTCCTCTGGCCATTGTCAGCTCTAAGCTGGCTCTTGATGATTGAGTGAAGGTCTGTTTGACGCTGTGTCCGTTCGAAATCGGTCTTGGCAAAGTTGATTTTTGCATGAAATGTAACCCAATTTGTATTCGTATGGACACTCGAAAACCCACTCCCGGGCCCGATCCCGTGGTATGGGACTTCTGCTTATCGTAGATCCCTCAAAATTGGTACGCGAGGAGAACATACCACACTGTCCCCTCCATAAAATATTTGAGTCGAATACAATAACAGAACATGAAATTATGGGCGTACGAACTTAGGATACCATGTACGGACTTCGAGCACCTGGGTCTACTAAGTACACTCTACAGCCTACACTACACTCTACAGCAACAAAGTACAGCCTACACAGCTACAGATGGTACCTACATTATAATGCAAGTAATGGATACTGCGACAAGAATAGACAATGCATGATGGAAAGAGTTACAGCATGGCAAGGACCTCAGACACTTTGTGTATAATTTTTACGATGGAAACGTATCGCATCTACAATCTAATGACTTTTGACTAGCTGATCGCATAGACAAAACCAGTTCCGGAGATAGACCAGAGGCGAGCCTGACAACATAATTGTCACCAATGTGCCAGTAATGCCAGTATGGAAAACAATGTAAACAACCAACTGTGTGGGAGCGCTGCAGCCTGGGACATGCCCATGGGGTGGAGCGGAAATACATGACTGTACAATCATGTACAACTGTGGTGGAATTTCATGTGACTTATGACTTGTATTGTGAGCCTTTGCGCGTGACGATGCAAACTGCTTACACTGTTACAGGGATATGTACACAACAGAACAACAAGGACAATCAAGGCTTGTTTGCTGCTACTTTAGTATCCGAGGTTGACGCGCCTTGGGGTGTCCATTGTTGGGGTAGCACAGCTAAGGTAAGAGTGCTCTACCACGGGAAGTGGGAGCTAATTCACCGAAGGATGTACCCAGAGTGCTTGATAGTGCTCAACACCACAAAGGCAGAGCGTAATACACTACAGAACAACAAGGACAATCAAGGCTTGTTTGCTGCTCGGATATGTACATGTAGATCTGCCACTCCCTGGTCTAACATTGCGCGTATTACTACTGGTACCTGACTACCTGGTGGTCCGTGGTGGTGCATTGGTGGTCCTTGGTGGTGCATAATTACATGTATGTCATTGTACATACACATGAGTCAAACATCACTATGATCCAGGGAGTCGTAAAAATATGGTATTTTACGACTCCCTGCTATGATCACTGCCCGACTCCCACTTAAATCCCAGCTCAGGATGTACGATGTTCTCGCAAGCCAGTCTCAACTCCGGCATTGCGGTGAATAACTACAAGGGCACTTTCTTTTACTGTCTTCGTCCTATCGCCGTATCCGGCGGCTTTGCGGCCGGACCTCCCGTGCCGTGTTTAGTCTTACATGTTAGTACATATGTACATGGTAGGTGACGTCACACAGCCATAACACGTACTCGCTGCATGTACCGTCCGTGTATGTGGCATGTAAATGAGTACAATGACTATTTTGATCTACTCACCATTCTGTTTATCTCACGTCCCACTACATATCTGTCTTCTTCGCAGACGGTGAGGTGCGCAAACTGCGAGTGTGACGTGGCGAAGTGGCGAAGTGTGCTAGTGTGATTTCTTCTCCCCGCAGAGTACAATGTATCTGACTATCACATACATGTACAGTACTCACTACTGTACTAGCGCCTAGCCACTACTGCATTTGCCGGCATCCATATCAATGACAATGATCGTTATCAACGGTTACGTGATTACTATGAAGTACATGTATGATGTTTAGGGCGCGTTCGAATTGTCACTCTTTGACTTTTTTTATTTTGAGGAGTTCCGTTTTTCTGAAGAGCTAGAGCAGTAGAGGTAGCCTTATTGGCCTCTTCAGAAAAGCGAAACTCCTCGAAACTCCCCAACCTCATCCGATGGGAGAGGTGGAATAGTTCCGAAGAGTTTGGAATAGCTACGTCAAGTAGTACGTGGAGATGGTCGATCTGATCGGACGTCATCATCGCCATGACAATTCCACTGAAAAACTATAATATTATTAAAAAGTAAAATGATAGAAACCGTTCTAATGGGACACTTCAACTAATCTCTTTTTTAAACATTTGTTTGAGCAGTTGATGAAGACATTACTACAAAGTACAATCATGTACTCACCAAGCAGAAGTCCACACAACTACATCCATCGCCAGCGGCGCTAACAACCCCGCAGCCCAAATCGTTCTGACGTAACCCGTCGTTGTAGAGTCTGCACTCTGCAAACACACTACACGTACTCAGGATGTAGATCTACAGACTTTCAGTCAGTCCGCCCAGTGCCGCAATGCCATACTGCCCATAGCTACAAAAATCAACGGAATCATGTACTGCAGTGTAGAGGCGACGGTTTCAAATAGGAAATAGGTTGCAAACCGGAACGGACTCAATATTCACTTTCTCTCTTGGTATTTTGATTAGAAAACATATGTCACAGTGAGACTACGATGTGTTATACTCCGAGCCAAAATTTCATGGCTCTGCGATGACCAGAAGCGCCATATCAAGCAGGTGAGTTTTTGACGTGTTGCTTCGCACTGCGACTTGAGTTTTACGACTTTCGAAAAATCAACTTCTTGTCGCAGGTAAACAGCGGCTCGCCTCTCGACAATAAAGCACCGCATACCAATCAAAACTAATGGAAGCACACACAAGGCTTATTGTTACTCTGTACTGGCCGTCGTGGAGCGATAGCAATTACCTAATTTCAGACCCAGAGTGAATTTGACGGGCACTCTAAAACGTGTCCGGTTTGGAGCCACCTCTGATTTGAACTTTTTTGAAGCGAAAAATTGGGCAACTTGGAGGCAATGGGTCAACACAAAGGAGTGGCTCAGTTCGATTGACTCTGGCCCCAGAGCAAACTTCAACATGCCAGTTTCCTTCCACAAACATATTTCGAGTGAAAAATCAACGTTGATGATCGTTTTGGGTCTATACAAATTTGGCTGTCAAAACGTTCCGGTATCGAGCCGTCTCCTCTACCATGGTGTACGGCCCTGGCGGGATGGGTCTCGAGTCAGGACTCTAGCTCAGCTCAGGCCAGGCCAGGGTCGACCGGTCGTGACTCGTGATCATGGTGATCTCTATCTGTACGCACAGGTTACATAGATTGTATTCAAAAAAATTGTATCTTTGCTTTTTGCCAATGGCAATAATATGTGGGAATGACAAGTGACAGACTAGTGAGAAGCCACAAATGGGCTAGGCCTAGCCTAGCCCGGCCATGCATTCGTAGGTCTGCATGCGCTCATGACGTGAGCGCAACAGAGCGAAACGTCAAAAGAAAAAAAGTCGATGCTTCTTTGCAGCGATCTTTACTTTGCGTGCATGTAATTTGTTGTCGTCGTCGTTGTCGAGTGTTGTGGCGCTGTGTGTATTTTGTTTATGAGTCAGGTCTACTGGTAATATGGCAGATGGGGACGAAGAAGATGTCTTGAAAATTGGCCAATGTGCTGGCCAGAGCGAGTATGGAGCCGTGTATCGTGGATGTGTCGGAGATGCCTCTGTACTTGTCGTGTCTCTTGATTCAATGCTAAAGTCATCATGCAGGGTGGATCCGCTAAGTGAGGAAGGACGTCGATTCTCAGACCACTTGAGCGACTCGTTCGGTACGGCGTGCGACTCAGGCCTGGACGCTGAGTTCGTACTGTTCCCTGTTGGCGTGCAGTGGCCGGGCGATGGTGGGAATGATGAAGATGCCACTCCGAGTGTGTTGACAGAAGGTACTTTTCACAATGAATGTCTTTTCAGCCAGTTTCAGTCGCAAGAAGCTGGCACGGCTAGTGGCAGCAGAAATCAGAGCTCTGCGACGCGGCAGCAACAGCGACAGCATCAGAACGGCCATAGCTCGTGCAACGGCGACAGTGTTGGAGACGTTCATTCGCATCCTCACTCTCAGGTACGCACGCCTTACCCGACACTGGACGTGTGTGACCTGATTGACATCGCGTGTGATTTGGCCACTGCGGTGGTGGATATCCACAGACACGATCAAGTGCATGGAAACATTCGCTCCAGTTTGCTAACTCTGAGACGTGCCGACAAGCATATCAAGGTAAGTCTACTGCGGACTGTGCGTGCATTGTTATACTGGTGCCTGCCAGTAATGGTGTCATCGTTCATTGTGTATCAATGTGACGAGGTATTTTCAGGAACAAATGCCGGCTTGTGAACAACATCAGTTTTCTGCTCCATCACCACTGATCACCCATCTTGTATCCTTGGCTTGGGGTTGTGTACGCTGTATGGTACCTGTCCCAGCCATTTTATTATAATATGCCATGTACATGGACTTGCACAACATGATATTATCGAGCAGTAAACATACTAAACGATATGCACAATCCCGGACAAATGGATCAGGGTTTATGTTCTTCTCTGTCAAACTCCTATACCCTTAACTAGGCTGTCAACGTGTGTACAGTACACAACCGTTGCAGTGTACAAGGACTCGGATCAGCTGACTAGCTTGCCCTGGATTCTCTGATCTAATTACTGAGCACTAACACTGGGCTAAAGTGGCGGTGTGTTTCAACAATAAATTTAATATAAAATCATCCCAGGCCTAGTGGTGCCCCAGGTATTGATGTGGTTACTGGATACTTGAATGCTGGTGTCATAGAACATGTGACAACCCCCGAATAGTGCTGAGTTATTATTTTATTAGCATGTCCACAGTGTCCGTGCTCTTAGATGATAATAAATTATTAATAATTATGATTGGTGTCAAGTGGCAATGCAGTGTCTTGATTATGCATACACTGTAGCCTGGCAGAGCAAACTGAGCCGCCGGGATTAATACATTTTTTAGTTTTGACCAATACATGTACCAAGTCAGAAATGCGATGTGTTTGCGATGTAAATGAAACTTCAAAAAAATAATTACAGGATACAAAAAATTTAAGCCCATTCAGAGACCTGAGCAAATCCCACAGTTTGTAAAATGTTCTATTTGCGGTAGTAGTACTACTGAAGTACATTGTAGTGATTGGGTACACAATCAATATTCTACTATTTACGACAATCAGTTTGATGTGCTCCATCCTTTCCAAAGGATGTTAAATGTATGCAGCCAATATAGATGGAATTTCGGGAAGCTTGATTGAAAGTTTTGAAACTGTATCAGTCGAGTGCCAGAACAAGATGCCACCATGTGCGTACAGGCATTGACCAGTGCACTTGTCATGTGGGCACGTGTAGTGCCACCAGTTAGCAGATATGCCGCGTAGCTCGTGTATAGTCAGCGTTGTCTGATCACCAAACCAGCACTTGAAATAGCTGGCGTAGGCACTATGTACCGTATTTCCCCGATTACAAGTCGCACTTAGTAGTAGTAATAGTAGAATTTATTATTTTATTAGGGAACTCCCAACAGGCGTTGCCTTTTTACTGGGAACCCTAGGAATGACTTGGTGCTTGTGACAAATGCAGAAAGGGGCTTAGCTTGACGACATCCAGGTGGAAGCATGTTCCATCTGTCTGCTGCCAAAAATGAAATAGCATTCAGGCCATAACGAGACGTAGCTCTGGGTAGGTTCACTTGATTATAACTTGCAACCCATTTTCAGGTCTGAGCCACACTGTTTCAATACATTCACAGAAGTAGGAATTCACACTCGAGTGTACGTCGCACCGCACTCCCTTCTTTGCTCTTGAAGTTTATTGTAAAAAGGGGCGACTTACATCCAGAGAAATACGATAGTCAAAATGGGCAAAATGACGGCCAGCGGTCCATGGGCACCACATCACAGATATGCGAGCTGTGCCCCTGGTCAGTGCACGGCATTTCACAGTTCAGTGGTCTGGATGGCCTGCATGACACCGCCGGTGCGGTCTTTTCGAAATGATACAGTGGAATGCCAAGCACGAGGAAAGGCTTAGCGATCAGGCCCTGGGCTGGTGCGTCTATCCGGACCCTATTCGCGGTTTCAGTTACTTGAGCCCTATTCATGGTTTCAGTTACTTGAGGTACATGGATTTAGTAGGGGAAGAAAATGAATCCTGGTTCACAGCATGCCGCTACTCACACATGTTTACATCTGCTGGATGGATGAAGTGTGCATCAGATGGTTTCAGGTGTGACCTATCGCAGCCTTAGCTGTGTAGTGAGAAACTTTTTCAAGAGATTAAATTTCGCTATTGTCGCGCCCATCGCACATCCGCGAATATAAATCGCCGCAAACTGCTCTTGACATTGATTTAGACAGTACAAGATCCAACTGAAGAGATAAATCGCCAAAGTTCCTCATCGCGAACCAGTCCAATTTCAGGAAAACGCAAAATTTGCGCGCCACGAAAGTATCGCTTTACAGTAGCTGTTGGCTATCGCTGTGTCTCACTGTCTCAGTGTCTGGTCTTGACATCTGACCAGTCAGTTTAAGTCCATTCATCCAAAAATGGTCGCCCTGGCTTTTGAAAGCCGGTTTTTGGCCGAAAAGCTTCTGATGTACTTTGCCTTGGGATAGCTGTGTTGTGGTTTTTTTAAATGGCTGAATTCCCTGCTCTTGGACATTTCCGGCCTCGAATGTGGCAGGGAAGGATTGCACGGGGCACTCGCTGCAGAATGTGCTGGTTTCTCTCTCTCTCTCTCTCTCTCTCTCTCTCTCTCTCTCTCTCTCTCTCTCTCTCTCATACTGATCTGGAACTATGCAGGAGGCACCAATAAGTTAGGGTGCCACTGCCAGACAGAGACCAGCTTCTTCCAGGTCTTGACCATAAATGAGTGTTGCCGGGTTATTAAATTTATTGTTTTCTCTTCTCGTTGTTATGGTGTAGGCGCGGCTTCTGTACTGCTGTGTGGCTGATGCGGTACGCTCCACGTTACAGGAGTTCGAACCGGAATATCTCCTGAAGGCGCCGACATCGGCACCTGAACGTGTCAACGGTCCGCTACGACAACTCCAACCGTCGGAGGATGTGTACTGTTTTGGCGCTACGATGCTGGAGTTGTGCTTAGGCCGTCCACTGGGTAGCGTTGCCAGTGACGTACGTAAGCTGTCCGATCTACATCCTCTCTATGAAGTCGTACTGATGTGCACCAGTTCCCAGCCACAGCTCAGACCCAGCATGGCCACCGTACTGGAGAGATGTGTTGAACAACGACAGACCAGCTCCTATATTCATGCCTGGTCGCGAACAGCCGGCGAATATGTACAGAAAATGGAGGATGACGTCCATCTGTTGGAGATCGAACGAGAAAGCCATGCTGCCCAGCTGAAGCGCTGCAATCGCAGAATTGAAGAGCTGACGGAGCAAGAAGAGGAGCTGAATCAACGTTTGAAGTTGTTGCAAGATGAGTTCTCTCAAGTCACTGCTGAACACAAGCAGGTCATTAGTCTGGTGGAGGGATTGCAAGCCAACAAGACCACCACTACCACTACCAACAGCAGCAGCAGCTCGTGCAATGGTGAGTCCCATACTGCTGACATGTATGACCATGACATCATCCTGACATCAGCTGACATCATGGCATCAGCTGAGATCGTGGCATCAGCTGACATCATGACGTCATCTGACATCATCACAACTGCTGACATCCTGGCAACGTCTGACATCGTCACAACGGCTGACATCACGATATCGGCTGAGATTGCAACCACCATTGAGCCCTGCAGTATAGAAGCACAGGATGAATTCACATCAGCATGGCCAATGAATTCTGGTGACACATCATCTGGTGTTTCGGAGTGCATGGTGAGCGACTGTAGTTCCACTCCCAGTGATGACTTCAATTCACCACCCCCAGTCATGTCTGCTCCAGAGATCTCACCCCCACTCACCATCAGAACACACACACCCATCCGTCCTGTGATCAGCCTCCCTGTAACCAGTCGTTACACATGTAATGGCATTGCCGCCGACAGCAAGGACACCACAGCACCAGCAGCAGCAGCGCAGAGTCCACAGTGGATGCAGGACAGCATGCAGCTGGAAGGCAACACAAAGTACAATTCCCTGAAGCGACGCAAGCGAAGCTGTGGATCAACCGAGTCTAGCCGATCATCCATGTCACAAAGTCCCACCTCGTCTGTGTCCAGTACCACAGTCTTCATAACTGAAGCAACACCACCAACTGCCAAGAAAATGCTACAAGCAACAGATACCCAAGCAACAGAGACACGACAGTCTGAACAACATCGAGAGCAAGATCCTGAACAACCTGTGCAAGCATCTGCAGCAGATATTGCAGCAGGTGCAGCAGTTGACACTCCGGTAGACACAGCGTCCAGCCTAGCTACGGGCGTAGCCGCAGCAGCAGCCACAACGCCTGCGGACCAGGCTGGTGGTCGGAACACCTCGCTGCGCAGGTCTGTGAGTCAAAAGCTGCCAAAGACAGCCACGGAGAGATACAGTGCTCGGCGCAACTCCGTGTCACCCACACCATCGCCGATACTAGTAACTCGGCGTGGCAGTATCGACGGCCAATCACCACCAACTGGACGTGTGCAGAAAATGGCCGAGCTATTCCGAAGCCGCGCTCAGTCTATAACCCCACAGATATCACATTCTACCAATCAACTGGCATCGGCCAATGGCGGTGCGTGTTCTCTGTCTACAGCAGGCCTTGCAAAGATGGACGGCCTGCGTCATCGTTCTCGCTCCTACTCCGTCTTACTCCACCAGCCGGCAATGCAGCACACTACCGATCTGTCTGCATCCGATGGCTCAAGAAAAATACCTGTGGGTCGTGCAAGGAGCATTGGCGAAGTGACTAGTCAAGATCCAAGGTATGCAGAGTGGACGACAGCCGGACCGAATGGCAATGCTCCACCAGCTCCAGGCACCAAGAAGCGTATAGCATCGGTGTCGGAGCGTGTCGGGGCAGCCAGGCAGAAAGGCATTGCTGACGATACATGGTGGATGATTAGAAAGCAGTGAGACACCGTTACCATAGTTACCTGGCGTTACTGATGATAAGTGGTGGATGCTTAGAAAGCAATGAGTGTCTCAGTCTACGGTTGCTATAGTTACCTTCTTTCACGACCTTCTAAACAGCAGACTGTGTGATGCACTTGAGATGAAGTATATGTGTGTGAAGTATGTGTGTGAAGTATGTGTGTGAAGTATGTGCGTGTGCCGGCATGTGTAGCGTGATGTGTGTGTGTGTGTGTATGTGTGTGTACCGGTATGTGTATGTATGTGTGTGTGTGTGTGTGTGTGTGTGTGTGTGTGTGTGTGTGTGTATGAAGTATGCGTATCCTTGGCATTCCTTGCACACGTACCCGTGCATGTGTATCACTATACTAGTCCCTATTGTACGCGTGTATATAATCATGTGAAGTAAAGTACACTACTAAAGTACAATGTGTTAGTCCTTGCCTGTATCAGCATGCTCTACTGCTAGCTGTGCGGCACATTCCGCTTACACTTCTATTCTCATCGGCTGTGCTGTGTATTCTCCGTGTCACTAATTGAACAGTGCCAAGCACAGGGCTGTGCTGTGTATTCTCCGTGTCACTAATTGAACACTGCCAAGCACAGGGCTGCATGTCACTGTACTCTCGTCAGCACACTGCCATACTGTGCACTGCGCTAGTGTGTATGTATGTTGCCATGGGGATGCAAAACCTCTCTTTTACCTTTACTTGATTTTATCAGAATGAACGGATTCGTCCTTTTTTTTTCTTCCAGAAACAGAAATCATTCAAATCTGCTATGAGTGTTTGACCGCTAGCTTCCCAACTGAGAGAATCATTTCTTCTCTACATGGAATATTAATATTATGTTCTTCTTGTGTATGCTGTGTGCCCTTCTGCTTCGGTAGTTAATTGACGTACACGCTGTGCAAAATTATTAAATTTTCATTTTATTGGCTGCCCCCCCCCCCCCTCCCCTCCCCCTTGCTACCCTGCTGTCTCCTGAATGCTCTATTAATTTCGTGTCCTATTATAACTATTGTGTGTGGGCCATAGCCGAGATAACTATTGTGTGTGGGCCATAGCTGAGATAACTATTGTGTGTGGGCCATAGCCGAGACCGTCTGAAACACTACATGTATCATGGTAAATAAACGCTGCGCTCATTCTGTGAAGTCTGTGGGTGTGTCACTTGGTGATTTGCGGCTAGCGAGTACTGGCTTAGGTACGAAACATGAAATTGCGGATTCAATTTCCAGTATGTGTGTGAACATCACAGCTACATGTGAACAAACGACGGGGCAGTGAGATCAACGGAACGAATTTGAATAATATTCCACAAAGGCTGAATCAACTAGATGCAAAGGTAGTGAAGGACCAAGGGAGACAAGAAAACATGATATCGGGAAGAAAGTGATGACTAGCTAACAAAGGCTTGCATGTACTGTCGTTCCCACTCTTGAAAGCGCATGTACAAGATTAGGTAGCAGATTGCAACGGGGTTTCCTTGCCGCAAGTTGCCAGCTCGCAGATGAAATGCAGCACCAAGACGCAGGGACCGGCCCATGCCATGGTCATATGCTGTGATGTAGATGTACACGTGTTGGATGAAAGGTGCGGCATGTTGCAATATTGTATCATCAAACTGAGGCTAGATCATGAACAGTGTGCAGCACAGTAGGTAAGTATTGGTCATTGACGAGATCAAGAGAAACAAAATCATATGATACACAACTGCATGTAGGAGCAGTGTGTCTAAGCCAGAAAACAGGAGACAAAAAACCCAAAGAGCTTCAGTAATAGAACTCGGATGTTGAGTCAATAGTAATGGCTTCAGTAATGCTTGACAAGATGGAGGAAAAATATCCACAGTGACAGACCACCATTGTATGTCTAGCTGGAACCCATATTAACGTTTTTAGGTGTCTGTGTGGGTGGAGTATACAAGCGGGTACGACAGGAAGCTACCTGGTGATGCTATTAGTATTTACACCGGAGCGCTGGGGTTGCTTGTGGTGCCAGATCCGCTGCTAGCTTCGTCAGGGAGCATTCTATAGTTCATGAAGGGGATATAGGACAACAAACTCTGAACAAACGAGAAGAAAAAGACAGATACATACACAGGTATACAATCATACACAGGTATACCTACACAGGCGTACACGCACAGCCGGTATACAAACACAGGTATACGTGCACACGTGACAGGTATACATTACATACACAGGCAAAGATACGCGCATGCATCCACACACAACAACAAACATCCATGGAGACAGACAGACACAAAAAAATGAGAAATGGAAGCCCAATGAACATGGCATGTCAAAGGGTTATATTCCAACAGCTTGGCTCGTGGTTTGTGCTAGTGTTGCTTCGTGATTGCCCCACAATACTCAGTCAATAGACATTGCCCAACAATAGACACTGATCAACAATAGACACTGATCATCCTGCTGGTGACAGTCATTTTCTTCTTCTGACTTTTCCCGCTTGCGTCTTTCCCTCAAACCAGTGAAGATCATCCGATACGATAATGTATAAGTAGGGGTGAAACGATTCTAACGAATACTCGAAATATAAATCGTTACAAGCTAACGAATCGATTATTCGAAAAGTTTCGATTACTCGATTATGCATACACTATACATGATTATACATGTATGACTGCAGATCGAACAATGTGCGAGAAAAAATTCTCTTCTCCACAGGCTCAGGCTGCGTTTACATGGAGACGAAATGAAACGAAACAAAACGGAACGAAAACGGGCTGGCCTCGAATCGTTTTCAAACCGTTGACACGAGAACGGCAGATCGTTTTGAACCGTTTACACGAAAACGGAAAACGGGCGAACAGACTGGAGTTAGCACTTGCTGGCTTGCTGCAAGGGCGGGAAGTGACACGTTAGTTGGAGTTGGTACGTGCTGGTGGTCGCAAGGCCCAGGGTTGGGTATTTCCCGCGAAATATAGTCCCGCGCGAAATGGTTTCCATGACCGCGCTCCGAATCTTTTTCACTGTTTTCACCGTTTACACGAGAACGAAAACGTTTTGAAAACGTTTCAAAACACTTTGAAGTGCGTTTCCATTTCGTTCCGTTTAGGTATCGTTTTCGGGCGTTGTCGTGTAAACAATCATAGTACTAGTAAACGCAGCGATTTCGTTCCGTTTAGGTCGTACTTCGTTGTCGTGTACTTGAAAAAGTAAATGCAAATCGTTGTCGTGTAAACGCAGCCTCAATTTTAAATTATATTTTTTTGCATTTTCAGCTTCTAATAACGTTACTGCTTTTATCTGTGGAAGAAATAATCGAAAGATGACCGAGAACCGATCGATACAGGTTTAGGTATTCGGTAGTCACAAAGTGTATTCATTTCACCCCTATGACTGTATAAGCATTATGAGCAGACAAGACCAAGAGACTCGACCCTGCGCCTTCATCATGTGAGAACTAGGGACCGGCGTATTCTGCTCGAAAAGGTGGCAGATTCTGCTCGAAAAGCAGTGAAATTGGCAGAACCATACAAACCTTATGACGGGCAATTCCTCGAATTCTGCTCCATTTTTTTATCCACATACCAAACATGCATGAAACTTACCAGAAAAAGTACTGAATTCTGCCAATTTTTCTGCCGGCAGAATCCGCCGGACCCTAATGAGAACGTTATCCAACTTACCCAAATGGTTGTCGCAAAGAAAGAGAATGTCACGGCAGCATTGGCAGCATCTCTCTTGTTGGCACGGCTGGCTACGCTTCGATCAGAGTTTGCCAAGACAAACGCGCAGATTAAGAATAACAGGGTCATGACACCAGATGCTATTGCCTGGGAAAGCATACAGAAAACCCAAAGAGTACAATTTTGGGAGCAAGGAAATTACATCCAACAGTGTAAATGGGAGAGGAGAGAAGCAAGGGGTGTCCGAGGTTACCAATTGGGTCATTTCCAGTCAAAACGAAATGTTTTGGTTTAGGTGTGAGTGTGTGTGTGGATTTCAGGCGTTTCGTCTTGAAAATAATTATTGAATAAGTAAAGACAGTGCTTGTAAAGTAACTTATCATGTTCGTTCCCAAAGGGAACTCTCGACGGCCGCTAAAACCCGGTATCCCGTAGCGGCAGACGCAGCACCTAACGGTGGAGGCAAGGGGATACGTCTCACAGCCACTGGCATAAGTGCCGAGAAACCCCATCCGCTGGCAGCCGCATCCATGTAGATCTACCCCTTGTGCCTGGCACAAGTTCCCAGTTGGCTGTGGGTAGCAGCACGGCTGAAAAAAACCGCTCCCAGGCAGGATTTGGACCAGGTGCCTCTCATTTTTCAATCATGGTCTTTGACCAACCCACTGTGCCTGCCTAATTATTGAATGCGGGTGGAGAATTGCCAGGTGTTGCTGTATTTGGTTGAAATTTGTTTTACTACTACATGTACATGTACACTATACACTATACACTATACACTGTACACTGTACCTGCAAAAGGGATGGGTGGGGTACAGGTCGTCCCTCGTTAATACATAATCTCTGGGACTTGACAAATGTTATGTATTAACGGGGTTTATGTACTAAACTACAGTGTACATAACTTGCTTGTATACCAGATTTTTTCACTTTTTTCAACTTTTCTGAGTATTTCTTGCTGCCATGACTAGGGAGCGAGATTTTCTTGATTCCCTCGATATAACATAAAAATTATGTTATAACGGTCACAGTCAGCGAAGATTCTACAGTTGACATGATACATGCCCAGCGGCGCCTGTAGTCACTCGAAAAAACAACAGAGCTTTGTCGGTTTTTGATGTGCGCTCTGATTTCTGAGCTAATTGCGTCCACAAGTAGAAACTAGAACACGATGTGCCTCCACTGGAAGGCCAAAAGACCAACAAATTATGTACTATTGAGGTAGGTGGCATGCGGGTACGGAGAAATGCTATGTACTAACGGGGTTTATGTACTAACGAATTATGTACTAACCGACAAAATTTGTATGGAAGTGACCACGTTTCGTCCGGGACTTGAGATTTCTTATGTACTAATGGGATTTATGTACTAACCGGACTCGTATTAACGGGGGACGACCTGTACTAGGGGCTGAAAAATACTAAAACATTTTGTTTTGAAGAAAGCAATCAGTAACCCCAGATGGCCTAAGTGAGGAAGTAGAAAGTTTGCAATTTTCGTGGTCATATCTTCGATAGATCACTCAGCACAGTGGTCAACAATACAGCTGCTGCTGCTATTGCAAGTCTAGAGAGTATAGTGGGATGGTCTAAGACCATGATTGAGAAACAGAGGGTACCAGGGTCAAGTCTTGCTTGGAAGCGGAAGGATTTTTCTTTGGGAACTCGTGGCCTGGCACCCGGCGAGGGAAGCATGGATGGAGTGAATGGGATATTCGGTCTTTGACCACTTTGGTGGTGGGTCTGATCTCCTCACCTCCCACCGTTTTAGGAGCTGCATCTGCGCCTTGATCCTTGAAGGGTAATGGCGTTCCTACGGATGCAGAAACTGTGACTCAGCCTCTACCCGAGTCTGACACAAACCGTGAAAAAAAGTGTAGAGAAATCTTCCAGTCCCCCCCCCCTTCCCCCCCTTCCCCCCCTCCCCCCCCTTCCCCCCCCCCTTCCCCAGGGGCGTACATAGGGCGGTTCCCGGGATGCCCGGGAACCAGTAAAATAATTTCGATGTGGGTACGGAGAATGTTTTTGATCAAGGCCCAGCGTGCAGTGCATGCATGCCTAGGCGCCTGGAGTCCGCCTGACAGTCCGACGACGGTGACATGGTGACTAGGCAAGGGGTAAAAGTGCTGCTGAGGCATTTTTTTTGTGACACAGCGTAGATCTACTGATCTTACTGGGTGCAACAAAGTCTCTACATACGAGTTACATCGATTCAGGGCCTCGATCTCAGAGTCATTTCCTTTGCAGTTTGTTTCGATAAAGTTGGTTACGTTTTTGACGATGCTTTCGCTTTGTGGAAAAGAAATATGAAGAGTCGACATCCAGAGGGCCAGCGCTCTGTTCAGAGCTATTTCGAGCAGGAGGCAAAGCGTGTAGCCAGTGACGAAGGTCAAGCGATAGATGAGATTGCGGACGCACCTGACTTTCAAGTGGAGTCTGCAACGAGCAGCACAGAGGACGGAATCGTCGTCGAAGCTGTAGAGCGACCGTTGTTGGAAGCTGCTGGATCATCCAAGACTTACTTCAGTGACATTGGAGTGCGTTGGAAAGGATATTCTGAAAGTGTACTTCCACGGTGGAATCCCTGATTCCTCCGAAATTTGCCTGACATGAAAAAGATTTCCGTCATTGACAATCATTGTGCGCCACTAGCTGCACTGAAGGCGAAGGATTTCGTTTCCTGTGCGTGTCCAGACGGGTGGCAAACAGCGCCGCTTTCAACTATCCTGGTTGGAGGAGTTTCCCTGTGTAGTCGTTTGACCGGCGTGCCATGGTGGCATCTGCTTGCCCTGTGTAATGTTTGCTCCAGGTGATTCGAAGTTTGGGCAGCTTTACCGCAGTCCTTCCGAGAATATAACCCGACTCAAGACTGAGCGTGTGGATGTGCTTCAGCGACTCGTTTCACGGCATAACATGAAGTCGTCCTGCTGAACAAAACATCCATAAAAATGCCTTGGCAAAGTTCAGTCTTTTAAATCAAATATGCCTAGCAGTGACATTATCCAGCAGTTTATGCAGAAACTCCGTCGGATACGTATAAGAGCACTAGCCGTGTGGAATTATGTTGGTTGATCAGTTGGCATGGGAACCACTCCTGGAGGCGAGCGGTGTACGCCCCTGTTCCCCCCCCCTTCCCCCCCCCTTCCCCCCCCCTTCCCCCCCCCCTTCCCCCCCTTCCCCCCGCTGTAGGATTCATTCCAAAACCATCAGCATTGAAGACAGCCCTCGACCTTCTCGACTTGACAGAGATTTACAATTCTGCATTGGTTAGCTAATGGCGTATACATCCCTTCTTCGCATATAACCTAGCCTCTTCTTCGTCATTTTTGTCTCTCTCCCGTGAGTTTACACCCCCCCCCCCCTTGGCAGAACGCCCTCCCCCCCCCTCCCATCACCCCGCCTGCCTACATGTACATGTATATGAAGAAATCTCTTCTTAAAATATTGTAGCAATGCTCAGCCACTGCAAGATAATCGCAAACAGCAGCTTTGCATTTTGATCCACAGAATTCGCCTAGGTAAAATTCCCATTCATCTCTCCGTATTCAATTGGTTTTCTCTGTCCCGGTCCACTCGTAATAGTCTCACTTCCTCGTGCTAATTCAGCCGCATTTACCAACTCTCCTTGGTTTTTGTCCTCCAGCTTTTGGCTGCAACTTCCTTCTGCATGTTAAGATATCAAAATGTCTTTCCAGCTTTAAAAATGCACTCCGATCGCATAATGTAGTATGATAGTATGATAGGATCTCCTTGCTGGATTCTCGTCACTCCTTCTTTCTTCTCTTTTTCTTTATTCCTTTCTTTTCTTTTCTTGCCGTGGTTGGCTATCACCCCTCTCGCTCGCACTTTGCGTGCCAATTGGTCATGGACCACGAGTTGAGTGCAATAAATAAAATAAAGAAAGAACACCGGCTAGTGGAATGTTACAGCCAGAAACCATCGAAACTGCTCACCTCGGCCAGAAACTGTGGAGCTGTACCCAAAAACTCATGCGTCACAATCGGCTTGAAGCGCAGGAAATACAGCGCTCCCAGCACAATGCACAAGATAATGGAGAGGCTTCCACAGAAAATGCCAAAGCCACAGTTGCTATTGCTGCCGCCGAAGTAACAGTATGCGCCTCCCTGTTCTTGCTGGACATGCAGCTCATCGCTGATAACTCCAACAACGATGATTGAGAAGAACTGCAAACACAAGCAATACAAGCAAAGCAACAACCACTTGTCAAGAGTTTGTTCCAGTCCCGACTTTTTCAGATGTACAACCACACCACCCTAATGCCGCAATGTGTTTAACTCGTATTTTCATTAGGAAAAAATGTCACTTCTTACATAATAATGATAAATGTAACCAGGCTCAGATGGTGAGCAAATTAAATTATTGTGAAAAGACTCGTACCATTTTGTCCTTCTTCTTTTCATAATCTTTATTTCAGGATTACCCAAAGTCTGACGCCTATCGGGGGGATCTCCTATTTGTGTCTATACAATGAACATTGGAGTTGGGAAAAAGAGAAAATGTGCAAAATGAGTTCGGGAACAGAGAGATGCTGTACAAAAGATACAGTGAAAGAACAAGCAGTGTACGTGTACATGTAAATCAATGATTGCACATCAAAGGAATACCAGTGCAGTCGAACTGATACTTTGCAATGTAAATACGTAAATGACGCTTGAATTCTGTTAGGGAATCTAAAGTTGTCAATCGGGGTGGGAGACAATTCCAATTACATGTACACCATCAGAACTGCCTTCTCACGGGGCTGTCTGCCCTTAGCTCTTACGCTGTGATGGATAGATGCTGCTGTATATACATGTACATGTACACTGTAGAAGTCCAACGTAATTGTTAGATTGACAGAATGACACAAGGCGGAGGACACTGTGTTTGGAAACAGTGACCTTACTACAACCTTCCGCGGTTGGCAGAGCCCCGGTCCCTGCGGACCATTTGAACCATAATTATGGGTATCGCACCCGGTTCTGACCCTCATTATGCAAGGGGTCAGGAGACTACTCCTGATGTCGTCTTGTTTTCTTCGCTCATTTCTTTAACTTGTATAAAGACTTCTTTTTCTTTTTCTTTTTCTTCCAACTTCTGCCCATGGCGCTGCCAACCGCGGAAGGTTGTAGTAAGGTCACTGTTTCCGAACACAGTGTCCTCCGCCTTGTTTCATGCTGTCAATCTAACAATTGCGTGAACTATAACAAGGTTTATCAGGCTAATACTGGTTTTTAACCCGTGTTAGGTTATAAGTCCAACGTGTGTAGCAGATACATTTAATGAGGCGGCCAGAAGCCAGCTTGTTTGCACTGACATAGTACAGTCATGTACATGTCCCTACAGCTTGTTTGCACTGACATACACGTACATACAGTACAGTATGTACCTACACGTACCTACACTGCTACAGTACAGTACAGTATCAGCCCTTGGTGGATAATGCTGGCAGAAAACGATAATATTATAATTTGTTACTTTTCTGGTATACTTCATGCAGTCATGGATAAAGATGAGGTGCAGAATTCGAGCCTGCCATACCAGTGCTAGTATATAACGCCGGCACATGGGGACTCACGGCAGCTGCCGAGGGTGGACTCGACGCATTCCACCGCGGCCAGCTCCGTTCACTGATCGGCTTTGTCTGGCCGCAGAAGATCGCAACAACGGCACTCTACGACAGGTGCAAGGCAGAGCCGATCAGCCGCATCATCACCAGAGCTCGGTGGAAGCTATTTGGCCATATCCTTCGACTTCCCAGTGATGCCCCCGCCGTCCTAACCATGGTCAGCTACTTTCGATGTGATGACCACAAGCGGGCCGCCCTCGCATCACCCTGCCGGTGAAGCTCGACGACGACCTCCACCGAGCTGCGTGCGGGCGATTGCAGAGCCTGGAAGATCTGGAGCGCCTATCAGACGTAGCTGCAGTTCGAAGCGAATGGAGGCAGCTACTGGATATGATCTGCAAGTAGAGGTTGCGGCGATGAAATCGCGCCGTCACCTTTTTCCCAGATCACGGAAATATCGCTCAATACACTTTAAACATTCTATACACAAAGGATTTACAGCTACGTTTGTGCTTGTTGTCTTTATGTCTCCTATATCAACTGCTTCTCTTACCATGTCCAGCATAAGCGAACGTGTGGACTGTGTTTGTGCATGGGTGTTACGGAATCACAGCCATTCCGTTCCCCGGGACGCAGGACACAAAGGACAAGATGAGTTTGGTTTACATAATTATTATTGACATTACGGAAATGGAGACAACACTCAAAGGGACGAACAAGAAGACTGACAAAAGGACTCTCGACTACAAAATCGCGCATGCTCATATCACACATGCACGCAACTAGACGAGACAGTTTGGGGAATGCCATCACACAGGAAAACAACACATCATTTTACAACACCTGCCCCCTTGATGACATTCCACAAAATAATAAACCGACACCACGTTCCACATGCACAACAGCAAAAGGAACCACAGCAAAACAGAAAAACCAACCAACAGCTTACATTGTAGCACAACAAAACTGGGCCACGACACAGGGCCAAACCAAGACACAAGAGCCAAAGCTCCAACAAAATAATAACAATATGCGCGCAGCAGCGCAAAATAAATCTACAACACAAATTAATGCAGAACAACAGAACGACGAGAAGAGCAACATACCGACAACCAAACTCAACAACACAGCAACCAACTGAACAGCGAGAGAAACACGATCAGACAACACAGCGAGCAAAACAACAACAAAGGACGACACACAGTCGGTGATGCCAGACTCATCCACTGGCCTCTGGCGAGCCACGGCCACACGCTCCATGCGGTACCTGCCGTCCCAGGCTCCAGTCCCCAGCTTCTGCCGGTCCACCACCTTCTCTGCCTCCTCTCCGCGTCTTCTTCCGCTTCCACCAGCTCCTCGTCTCTCCTCCATCCCCACGCTTACTCTCTAGTTGTACTATTACTTGTATTAGTTGTTGACGACGACGAACAGACTCATGACAAACTTACTCATCCTCTGCGTCCCGGGTTTCGGCACCACGTTGTTACGGAATCACAGCCATTCCGTTCCCCGGGACGCAGGACACAAAGGACAAGACTAGTTTGGTTTACATAATTATTATTGACATTACGGAAATGGAAACAACACTCAAAGGGACGAACAAGAAGACTGACAAAAGGACTCTCGACTACAAAATCGCGCATGCTCATATCACACATGCACGCAACTAGACGAGACAGTTTGGGGAATGCCATCACACAGGAAAACAACACATCATTTTACAACATGGGCGACTTGCACTTGCACTGTTGACGCTGCCGCGGGAATGCATATAATAATAATAATAATAATAATAATAATAATAATACGCTTTGTCTGGTTCTGCCAATTTCACTGCTTCTTGAGCAAAATCGGTCAGTTCTGCGAGCATTAGCCGTCAAGGCCTACTACACGGCATGTGTGGAGAATTCCTATGACAAGCACTAGGCTAGTGTAATGTTCGTACAATGAAAGCCTTCCAGGTGTGATCACGGGGCACAGGGTCCGTGTGAGCATGTTTGGGATGGATGTGCCCGACCCACCAGATCTACCAAGCCCACATGCACACACGGTCGCCATTAATGATAATCAAACACTCGAAATGACTTAGGGCAGATCTGAAGCAGCATACAGGAGCTACTAGCAAGTCCAATCGCTTGACAAACAGCAGCAACACAACTCACCAGCGCAAGACCGGTGCAAACAGCACCGATAAGCTTGAGTTTGTCAGCATCTATACGAAAAGGTCCGAGGCAGCAGGGTAGCGGCAGGCAGCAAAATGTCACCGTATATTCTCTTGTAGGCGGGGTTTCCTGATCGGTCGCGAGAGCTTCTTTCTCGATCTCGGCCATGCTTCCTAAAATTCCAAAACCCTGCAAAGTGCAAACGTCACCGCAATAATCTCAGGAAAAGCCGTGGGATTCTGGATGACTGGAGCCGTGGAGGGCGTTGAAAAGATCCAAAAGAAACCAACGAGCACTTGCAGCAGTTACCGCTGGACCTCACCAGCTTCCGACAACCGCGAACTGAGCGACAATACAAAGCGTGTCCTATTAAAACACAAAACGAAAATAATGATGCCGACAAGTCACACTTGCACTCGGTGATTCAGAGGCACAGCGAAGTGTATCGACACAAGCGGTCGTAGTACTAGTAGTAGCTTCGCCGCATTGCTTTTCGCTACGACAAGTACGAGTCAGCAGACAGTAGGACTTGAACTAAGTTACTAATTAGTTACTTGGTTACATTGCTTATGGCTACATATGCCGGTACATGTATGATGTAGAGGAGGGTGCTTGAAAAAGTAGTCACTTTCGTCAGGGGATTATACTCTTGCTACAATTATATGCCTGGAACGATCGTACAATGTGACAGCCACATGTCATGTGGTTGTCACATCATTAGACAGAGGTACTAGGTGGTCCCGTCGGTGTTGTCCGTCACGGATAGCAGGCATGGCACCTCATACATGTATTCTCTCCACAAGTGACAGGTTGCTTGTCACTGCAGGGATTTGGGAATGGAGGAAGATATTGGGAAACACAAAGCCGCACACGTATTTGCACTGAGACCCCAAGTCCGAGCTTCCGAGCCCCGCTACTCGACTAGAGCTGAGGACAGTGTTTCTCTCAACCCTTCCTCGGCGCTTTCTTTGCGTGCTGCCAAGAGTATAACCCCCCATTATGTACTCTTGGTGCTGCATGCAAACTAAAAGTGAAACCACATGTGCAATCATGTACGAGTACAATGTCATGTACTTGTAAGTAATTAGTTGTCACCCATATTCCATGCAAGGTAGTTTAGTTGTGGAGGTATTTTCTTTTGGTCCACTGTCCATATCCCTCCTTTTGGTCCACTGTCCATATCCCTCCTTTTGGTCCACTGTCCATATCCCTCCTTTTGGTCCACTGTCCATATCCCTCCTTTTGGTCCACTGTCCATATCCCTCCTTTTGGTCCACTGTCCATATCCCTCCTTTTGGTCCACTGTCCATATCCCTCCTTTTGGTCCACTGTCCATATCCCTCCTTTTGGTCCACTGTCCATATCCCTCCTTTTGGTCCACTGTCCATATCCCTCCTTTTGGTCCACTGTCCATATCCCTCCTTTTGGTCCACTGTCCATATCCCTCCTTTTGGTCCACTGTCCATATCCCTCCTTTTGGTCCACTGTCCATATCCCTCCTTTTGGTCCACTGTCCATATCCCTCCTTTTGGTCCACTGTCCATATCCCTCCTTTTGGTCCACTGTCCATATCCCTCCTTTTGGTCCACTGTCCATATCCCTCCTTTTGGTCCACTGTCCATATCCCTCCTTTTGGTCCACTGTCCATATCCCTCCTTTTGGTCCACTGTCCATATCCCTCCTTTTGGTCCACTGTCCATATCCCTCCTTTTGGTCCACTGTCCATATCCCTCCTTTTGGTCCACTGTCCATATCCCTCCTTTTGGTCCACTGTCCATATCCCTCCTTTTGGTCCACTGTCCATATCCCTCCTTTTGGTCCACTGTCCATATCCCTCCTTTTGGTCCACTGTCCATATCCCTCCTTTTGGTCCACTGTCCATATCCCTCCTTTTGGTCCACTGTCCATATCCCTCCTTTTGGTCCACTGTCCATATCCCTCCTTTTGGTCCACTGTCCATATCCCTCCTTTTGGTCCACTGTCCATATCCCTCCTTTTGGTCCACTGTCCATATCCCTCCTTTTGGTCCACTGTCCATATCCCTCCTTTTGGTCCACTGTCCATATCCCTCCTTTTGGTCCACTGTCCATATCCCTCCTTTTGGTCCACTGTCCATATCCCTCCTTCGCCACATGTACTGTTGTTGGTGGTAGCAAGCGGAGTATAACTCCCCCCCCCCCCCCCCCCCTCAGGGAGGGTTATACATACACTCTTGGTGGCTGATGGTGTTGTTGTTGCGCGGAGAGTGCAAGAGTACATCATACTAATACATGTTATGTTCTCTTGGTTCGACCAACTACTTCCCTTCGATATTGTGAAGATTACTTTATGCCAGGGAGTCCCAGTGGGTACCGGGTAGGGGTGCGCGGATTATGCTCGCACGCACCCGATATTATGCTTTCGGGCATTTCCCGCGGAACTTCGAAAGTATTCTCCCAAAACATCAAAATTCTCCAGAATTCCCCCCCCAAAAAAAGAACCCCAGCACGAACCGTGCCTTGCGCATTCTCTTTAGTATGCAAAATGGACGGTCAGGCACGTGATCACTGCATGCAGGATCTACAGTACATAATATAATGATTATGTACATGTACTAGATCTACATGACTGTACACAGCTACTATGATCTACTCAGGCTGCGTCCATCATGCCTGCACGCTGCACTGTTCTCTGGGCCTCTGACAGGTCAAAATTGACAGAATTCCCCCAAAACTCTTCTGAAGGTCAATGGATCTGGCAAAAGATCGATAGAATTCCCCTAAAATTCCCAATATTTTCTCACCGATAGTATTCCCAAATTATTCCGGGAATAATCCGCGTACCCCTACCAGTGGGCCAGTAGACACATTCAGGATTGGGTTGGTCACGTGGGGAGGTAAAAGATGGATCAGATGAGCGCCGCCCATGCGCCCAGTGTGCTCATGTACAGTACCCGGTACTACATGTGTAGGGGGGTCAAGTCCAGCTTGCCAGATCGCAGACTACATGACATTGTATTCGTATGTATACCCACACCGCCATGCGCATCGACAAACCGCAGCTCACTCCACTGCATGTCGGCTCCCACTCAAGCTAACTGGCGGGAGAATCCGTAACACAAAACTCAAAATATTGGTCCTTGCAGACCAGTACAAATAATGGAAAAGTGGTCTCTAAAACAGACACTAGAAATAGGAACATTGAAGAGACGCAAATGGAAACTAACGAAGGAGAGGCATACTCATGATGTCATTGTGTGCTTGGACTGAGAGCAATTCTGCCAAACCAAACGTATAAATAGACAGCGCATGACTTAGTGTGGATGAGGAGCATTAACGTGACAGTCTAGTTCAGAGAGCAAGAGACAACAAGGTTAAAGACAAGCCGACAGGGCATACATGTTCTGTAGTGTAGGTGTGTGAAAAGCAGCGTGTGCACAGGATTAGTTTACAGATTACAAGAGGTTTTTCCTTGCTTGCTAGCTCACAGATGAAGTGCAGAACCAAGACGCGGGACCGGCCCATGGTAATAATTATGCTGTGATGTGCATGTGTTGGTCTAAGATGAACGGTGCGGCATGTTGCAATATTGTATCATCAAACTACGGCTAGATCATGAACAGTGTACAGCACAGTAGGTAAGTCTTGGCCATTGACGAGATTAAGAGAGAAAGAATGAAAACAAAACTAAAGCAATATGTAGAAGCAGTATGTCAAAGCCAGAAAACAGAACACAACAACCAAAGAGCTTCAGTAACAAAACTCAGATGTTGAGTCAATAGTAATATCTTCAGTAATGCTTGACAAGATGGAGGAAAAATGTCCACAGTGACAGAACACCATTGTATCGTCTACCTGGAACCCATATTAACGTTTTAAGGTGTCTGTGTGGGTGGAGTAAACAAGCGGGTACAAGCGGAAGCTACCTGATGATGCTATTTTAGGATTTACACCGGATTGTTGGGGTTGCTATTGTTGCCAGATCCACTGCTAGCTCCTTCACGTAGCATTTTATAATGCGTGAAGGGGATATATGCCATCACACTCTGCACAAAAGAGGACGAAAGAGAGGTAGGCATTCACACACACGAACAACATACACGTACACATACATACACACGCACACACACACACACAACGAACATGGAGACACCAGCCATACTATTACAGAGAGATAAGAATGAACGGCACATCAGAGGTTTACATCGCAACAACTTGGCTATGGCTGGTGCTAGCAATGCTGCTCCTTTGATATAGCAAAGAAATAGATACACTGATAATCATAATGCTTGTGCTTCCAATAGGTTACATGTATGGGACATCACCCTCTGTTACTGTACTGTGAGTTGTGAGGCAAACACTATGGGACATCACCCTCTGTACTGTGAGTTGTGAGGCAAACACTATGAGAACACAGTACCAAGTGAGTGAGTGACACAGATTGTTGATCATGACTCATGAGCCATCATCACATAGAAGAGAGTTACTTGTAGCAGTTGAGCACTCTTGTGTGTGTGGTAATGCTGTTGCTGTTTGCACTATGCAGAGTTCACTGACTTGTCAGTTTGAGCACTCTGGCAAGGTATGTTTGGGCCTGGTTTAAATCTGGCTTTGGAAACTTTATTTTTCATTGCTATCAGGTTCCGCCTCATTCTCTCTGTGCTGCGCTGATGAGTCCACCAAGGACGAAACAGTTCTGTCCGCAGATTGAGTAGAAGAGAGTTATGCAACTTACCCAAGTGAACGCTGCAAAGAAGGAGAACGTCACGACGGCATTGGCGGCGGACCCCTTGTTGAAGTGGTTGGTTATGATTCGATCAGCGTTCGCCAAGACAAGTGCACTGATCAAGAAAAACATTGCCATGACGCCAGCTGCAATCGCCTGTGAACGCAATCATACAGAAGACCCAAAGAACACAGTTTGTAGAAAGGAAAGTATAATGATTATGTAACTACATACAAGTAAATGTGAAATTTATTGGTTTTAGGGAAAGATGTGAGAGAGGGGTTGAAGTGAGAGGCAAGGGAGTAGAAGATATAGCTGCAGTTCTTCTTCACTGTTATATATTGGAGAGATTAATCCACACAATGATCAACGATACTACAAAATCTGAACATGCTCTATGGAGTCCTCACACATGGAAGCTGAAAACTTGGCAGGAAAAGGTAGAAGAGAGGGTATTCATTTCCAAAACTGCCTTGTTGAAAAAGAAAAAAATGTTTATGATGAAAATGTCAACAACGTTACAAAACTAGTAGCAGTGGTAAGGCTTCCTGCAGCTTCATTCATAGCTTCATTCATAGGCAAGAGGTTTCAGAGGAGACACGCTCTTCCCATTCACTCCGCAACAATACCGCCGAACTCGTTTATGAAACTAAGCGAGTCTGCTTTAGAAATCTCTTCCTGTGTTACAAGACCTAGCTGTAACTTTCTCCAACACCACTGTGCATGCATGGCAGGACTGCGATCAATGTGTTGCATGCGTGCCACTGTGTACTACAGGCTGGTACAGCTTACACGTCGTGAAACATCTACGCCGTATGAGAACACGACACGAGTAGCCCAGGGTTGCGGAATTGTCGAGCGATCTCCCATCTGACCCACCTCCATTTATCCGACCGACCCCTCGCAAGGGCTCGAAGTGCCGTGCCGTGCCGTGCCGTGCCGTGGCGCTCACGTAGGATTGACGGTATACATGTACACGTACATTGATTGGTCAGCAAGATTGGCATGGCAACCCCCCCCCCCCTCCCCCCGCCCGCCCCGGGCAGAACACCCCACCCTCCTGCTGGCATGCAAGTAGCACACCAACTAGTCAGGAAGGTTCCAACCAGAAACTGCTTACCTCAAACAGATACTGTGCGGATGTACCCAGAAATTCATGTGTTACGACCGGCTTGAAGCGTAGGAAGTACAGCGCTCCAAACACAATGCACAGGAAAATGGAGAAGCCGCCACAGAACACACCATATCCACAGTTGCTATTGTTTGCGTTGAAGAAACAGAACGAATCTCCCCGGTTTTGCCGGATATGCAGCTCATTATTGATAACTCCAACAACGATGATTGAGAAAAGCTGCAAACACAATCAATACAAGCAAAGCAACAAACACTTGTCAAGAGTTTGTTCCAATCCCGACTCATCCAGATATACCGTTGAAGTACTGCCCCCATGCATTTTCACTGCATGAACTGACAGAACTGCCTTCTCGCTGGGGCTTTCGGCCGATAGGCTCTTACGCTATGATGAAAAGATGCTGCTGTATATACATGGAGATCAGATGTGCGTAACATACAGTTTTAAAGGTGGCCAGAAGCCAGCTTGGCTGTGCAGACTTTATAAGAAGTGTATTGCCATAACACACACACACACACACACACACACACACACACACACACACACACACACACACACACACACACACACACACACACACACACACACACACACACAGCAGTTCAGTATAATGCACAATAGAACTGTTCAGTACGCAATACCAGTGAGTTAGGTTTGCGTAATTCTCGACTTGTGAAATTGTGTACTCTATCTGGTGATGTTACTATGGAGACAGGAGATGCCATGTCTCACTGTAAGTCATAACAACAACGCTGACTGGTCACATCTGTCCCCCACAGGATAACGCGATTCCGCGGACGCACAATTTTCCGCGTTATTAGACAGCCTAATAATAGCAAACAACGGTAACGCTATTTTTTACGGTACTCGTACCTTGATCATCCAAATAGCGTTGAAGCTGCAGCGTAAAAACGTTATGGGGGCTGATTTATCGTTGTGACAAACGGTATGTTTTTTGGCCAAATCTTGCATAGTCCGTACGCATTTCACCTTGTATCGCGTATATGGCGACATAAATGGTTGTACCGCGCGAAATCAAAGCTATTCTCGTGGCAACAGCGTAATAAAAATAGCATGCATCTTGCTAAAGGTCGAACCCAAATCACGGTATTTTCCCCCTGCGGTAATACCGTTACAACATAACGTTTTTAGCTAAGGGTGTCTAATGGCTTTTATCCGCGTTTTCGAGAGATTTTGCATAAAACCCGCGTTATTCATGGAATGTACAAGAAAATAGTACATGATGTTAAAAATGTACACAAAGTCGTACAGGTGCATGAGTTTGTACGACAAAGTTGTATACTTGCATGAAACTGGATGCTAAAGTTGTACAATGACAAGAACTCGTGCATAATGACCGCATATTTGCCGCATAATCCCGCATATTTGCCACATAGTGGCCTGTTTTCGCCCGCATCATTTTAGGATTTTGTTCGCGTTATTCTGTGGGGACAGTCACATGATCAATGTCCAGCCTAGGCTGCCTAGCCCTGTGTTTGGTAAGCTGTATAATATCCAGATAGCCCTGTGGGCCGTGGCGCTGGTGATGTCATCAAATGCATGGACATTCTAGCTAGTACTAGTAGTCATGGAGATGGCCATTCAGAGGCAGCACATCAAAAGACATTACATGGTAAAACAGCATGTTTACTTGACGCAGAGAAATGATTGTTGCTTGGGATGATATTCAGGGCTGATCATGATGCATGTGTGAGCATGTTTGGGGTGGATGTGCCCAGCCCACACCCAAGCAAGTGAAATCCGTGACTTGAAAACAGCAGCAACAGAACTCACCATAGTCAGCCCCGTGCAAATAGCACCGACAAGCTTGAGTTTGTTGGCATCGATACCAGAAACTCCGAAACAGCAGGGTATTGGCAGACAGCAAAATGTCATCGTCACAGTATGTTCTGTAGACGAGGTTTGCTGACCGGTCGTGCCAGCTTCTTTCTCAGCCATGTTTCCTGAAATTCCTACACCCTACAGACGTCACCGCAATAATATCGTGAAAAGCCGAAGGATTCTAGTTCTGGACGGCGTTGAAAATGACCAGAAGAAGGCAAGCAGATGTTTTCAGCTGGACTAGCTTAGTAGCTTCCGACAACCACGGACTATGCGGCAAAGCGTGTGCAGAAGACGTCAAGAGAATCTCACCACAAAAGGCACAATCCAATACGTGGCCACCACATGCACTTGCTTCACTCAAAATGTCACACAAAATGATGACAAGTCAAAAAACACACGTGTACGATGATTCAAAATCTATCCGTGACTTTTGTTTTGGTGGTTGTGTGGTTGCGGTACGGTAGACCTACGATGTTTAGTTTGCCAGCTCGCATGCGCGAATTCTGCGGTCGCATACTACAAACACCGTACATAGTACACATACATGTACGCATCTTATTCCACACCGTACGTCTCCGAGTGCCATCTGTAGACAACCTGTCTGTTATCATCTGGAGACAACCTGTCTGTTATCATCTGGAGACAACCTGTCTGTTATCATCTGGAGACAACCTGTCTGTTATCATCTGGAGACAACCTGTCTGTTTCCCCTGGGGCTGAAACAATTATACCGATAACTCGCATATCGATCGTTAAAGGGGAAGTTAAGGCAAAAATTAAAATTTCACCAGTTGTAGTCTTCGGGGTGCTGAGTCGAATGGTCTTGGTCCGAGAAAGCTGACATCGTTTACTGGGCCGTTCCAGTTGCGGAAGACATTCGATTCATCGGGCCAATTCAGCAACAGGGCCGTGGACACACAGGGGGCAGAGGAGAGACATTGTTAGTGGACAAGAAAATAATATGCAGTGGCAAGTGGCGAGTGCCGCACGGATGTCAAGTTGTCATGCACAATTCAGCTACTACTTAGGCTGTGTTTACATGAGAAATTTCAACCCGGGTCGAGTTCAGCCCGGGTTGAAAGTCTGTACGATAGACAAAAGAGGTGAGCGTTTACATGAAGACAGTTGACCCGGGTCAAATACTGATATGCCGCCAAAAGTCCACTTCTACAGTCCTGCATGGTCACGTGAATCCGTTCGCGCGAAATTTGCATCTGCAGTGCTGTTCAAACCTGGCGCGAGATACGCACAGAAGTACGTTTGTACGATTTTCTTGACCCGGGTTGGTTTCAACCCTCCCCTTGGGGGGAGGGTTGAAATCAACCCGGGGCGAAATTTCAACCCGGGTCAAGCGCAATGCGTCATGTAAACGCGCCATTCACTTTGTGCACATGGCGGGTTGAAATCTGACCCGGGTCGAACTCAACCCGGGTTGAAACGCCTCATGTAAACACAGCCTAACGGTCCAGCTAGTCCTGCCATAGCTCGCTCGTCCTGGTTCCTCCTCGTTCGTCTTCCTGCACGTCTGCTCTTCTCCTTCCCCACCGTTGGCTTTGCGGTACGGGGGTGCCGGAAGGAATTCCCACCATGTATCCATGTACATGAAGTCCCACCATGACTCCATGTACATGTCCACGGCCACGTCAGCAGCTTGTATAGTACCGGAAGGAGTTCCCACGATGTCTCCAAAGGCCTAGAGCGGACGTCTTTGCAGCAATTCTTTTCACCCTGCACATTCACTCCGCCGACACGACATCGTCGACAGCGTTTACCACTGTTTACGGGGCCGTCCCAGGTGCAAAAGGTCCACGTCAGTAGTTCTCAACTATTTCGCGTACGGGATAGTCGCCGCGACAGCGTTTAAGGAGGCTCCGAACAGTTGCGCAGCGCAGTGTAAAAAGGGCACCTCCGAAATCTGTTTTTTGCCGCGAGATTCAAAAAATGTTGTGTTCCATGCGGAAACAAGCTGTTGTTCAGAAAGAAGTTTTTTGATTTCTCTGTGCTCGCAGTTGTTCCAGGATGTAGTTCTACTCGTTGCAGTGTTTCTGTAGCCGTGGCTGTTTCTACGCTGGAAAGAATCACTGGTCATGGCTAATGCAAAACAAAGGCAGTTCCTACGCTGCTTGATTTTTTTGTGAAAACTTTGTTGAAGCGGTACGATGTGGCCACGAAGAACAAATATAATTATTACTGACGAAGATGGGTGAGAAAAGCAGGCTGAAGTCAGTGAAGACTTCGATGTCGAACGTAGTGATACTAGTACTGGTACTGGAATTTAGCATGGACTACCTGTGGAGCGTGAAGTGGCTGCCCACTCGCTGGTAAGTGGACCCACTTGCAGCTCCAGTCGCACGAGTACCGTTTGAAACTTTCTGTGGATCCTAGAGTATCCTGAGCTCAGTGGACGACGCATCTCAGAGCTGCTGACCTTGGGCTACTGTCCCTGCAGCTGTAGGAATGAGGTTCGTGTCAACCACTGTACTGCACTGATGGTGTAAGGAAAACGCTGGCCAGAAGCTTGTGTTCTGAACCAGGGACGAACTTCTAAATCCTGCTTTTGTAAAAATGGGGATGCCACAACTAAGATGTGCACACTCAGGTGTGTATTGGGTAAATGCCTGTGGTTGATTATTTTGAATCCTTTCCCATGCGCAAGTACATGCGTTTGTGTGTGTGTACGCGCGCGCGTGTGTGTGTGTACGCGCGCGCGTGTGTGTGTGTACGCGCGCGCACGCGCGCGTGTGTGTGTGTGTGTGTGTGTGTGTGCGCGCGAGTGTGTGTGTGTACGCGCACGCATGCGCGCGCGCGCGCGTGTGTGTGTGTGTGCAAGCTGTTTGAAAGGTGTAATCCGAGCACAAGTTGTTATGTCTAACGTAGTTTGTTCGCTATCCTCGCTTCAGCGTTGGGCAGGTGTATGAGTGTGTGTGTGTACGCACGTGTGTGTGTGCGCGCGTGCTCGTGCCCGCATGTGTGGGTTCGCACGCAATGTTGATCTGGGTTATGCACATGTCCCCACGAGTGCACTGTGTGCATGTGCATGCAAATGTCTGTGTACATGTGTGTGTGTATGCACGTGCATGTGTGCACGCGTGTGCAAAGCTAGGTGTGGAAGGGGGGAGGGGCTCACAGTGCTGGTTCTGTATGCCTCTCCTCTCTGGTGTCCGCAAGGACAGTGTGGTAATGGCTTTACAGTACAGGAGTTGCATGTGAATGCGCATTTGTGAACCGTATTTGAGACACAAAAAGAATTGCCGAGAGAGCATGACAGTACACTACATGTATATCGTATGTGTGCACGCCAGCGTGTGTAGATGCATATTGCCCTTCATGCGATATTTTTCTGGAATCTGCTGCTATCAACGCAAGTGACAACCAGCAAATGCATGCCCAGTGCAGTGGCTGGTCTTCATGCTTTTATTTACACTAAGTCCTACTATGGACTAGTAGTGTTACAATGATGCGTGCACGAGAGTGCGTGCATGTGGGTGGGTGTTTATGTGTGTGCGCACGCGTGTGAGTGTTTAGTGTGCCTTATTTTGAATGCCTGCTTTCACATTATTCATGTGCCAGTTTCATGGTCGAGGTTGTTATGAAACCTCGCTGCCTTACATGTACATGTACACTACTCGTATATCAATGTGCTAGGACTGAAGGTTACATGACATACATGTAATGATACATGTACCTTTCCAAGCACAGCCTGTCTGGTATGTCCAAAGGAGGTTGCAGCATGAAAATAACTTCTTCTAAAATAATATTACCATACTACCATGTCATTGGTAGTGATATTTAGTCAAGAAGGCAAGAATGGTCAGATTTTCTAAAAATGCTATTTTCAGAATTGGCCTAAAAATACCATATTTCGATACCTATATTGTTTGGTAGGGGCCTAAAGTGCCTGGTGACACCATCAAAACTGTTCATTATCGGTTTCCTTGGGGCTCAAGGATCACAGAAAGCCACAAAAATCAATATGTCCATGGACAAAATGTTGCAGGCTGGACCATTTCACAATTCAGCACCCGATGGAAATTTCGGTTCCCGTAATTTCGAAAAAGTGGCTCGCCAAGGGCAAAACCAAGACACAATCTATCTTGTGTAGCCAAGATACCTCCAAATGTGGTTCTTAAACATATGATGAAGAAAATGCTTAGTATCCTCCTTCCAGGAGGCTTCTTTGGGTCAAAAACCGAATTTTTTTACCATTTTTTTGCCGAAAATCAAGAAATTGTACACTCACTAAATACACCAGAATACCTCTTATATGCCTGGTGACCCTACCTAAAAACTATACCAAATTGAAGAAGAGACATCACTCCACCATTCTATGCATAAAAAACAGGGTGTCCATGGACCTTTTATTTTTACTTCTTTAGGTGGGAGCCTCCTTAACTTTAAGGGGTCGTTCCAGGTGCAAAAGGCATCCATCAATGGCACTTTGCAGTACGGGGTACGGAAAGGGGCCGCCTCGTTCGACTTCGTCGACTTCTGCATGCAGTTCTCCTTCCCGTCGACCGAAAGGGCCGACGGGCAGACGTTATGCAGAGAAAGATGACGACGCCAGTCAGTAAAATTGTTGGCCAATTTGTTGCCTACTTTGAGGCCAGTCGATGAAATGAGAGCTTCCTTCTTCAAGAAATATGTTGCCAGTCGTCAGTCCGATGCCACTCGTCTTCTAAGCGTCGCACTTGACGTAAGCAGCGCAGTTGTATGGACGGGAGGCGAGGAGTTTATCGTTTTCGATTTTCACCCTGTTCTGGGTTGCCAACTTGCCATTACCTTGCAGCTGGCAGCACCACGACGGAATTTTTTTGCACAAGGGACCCTAGGTGAATTCAACTCCTCAGAGATATCGCCATGACAGGGTAAGGTTATTTTAGCCCTGAAATTGTGTACAAACCAACGGCACGAAATTATGGAAATATTTATTTTTTCGCAATAATAATGCATGTTGGCCAGTGTTTCCTAAATACAAGTTTAATTGCATGTTTGTTGAACAAATGTAGCCATCTTTGTATTGTGGCATCCTGGCGGTGTATTTCGTAACTATCAGGGAGTCGTAAAATACCGGTATTTTACGACTCCCTGGTAACTATACTGCATGACAATATTATTAGACACCCTTAGCAAAAAACGTTATGTTGTAACGGTATTATCGTGAGGGGGAAAATACCGTGATTTGGGTTCGACCTTTAGCAAGATGCACGCTATTTTTAGTACGCTGTTGCCACGAGAATAGCTTTGATTTCGCGCGGTACAACCATTTTTGTCACCATATACGCGATACAAGGTGAAATGCGTATGGACTATGCAATATTTGGCCAAAACACGTACCGTTGGTCACAACGATAAATCAGCCCCCATAACGTTTATACGGTGCAGCTTCAACGCTATTTGGGTGATCAAGGTACGAGTACCGTAAACAATAGCGTTACCGTTGTTTGCTAAGGGTGTCTATTAAGGACGTTTAGCACCGCGAAAGTTCGAAAGAAAATTCGAGTCTGGGAATGAGTACAGAAACAAAGGTCGAAACTTCGAAAACTTGGACGCGAAGTTGCAGTGATTTGCAAAAGTAACTTTCTCTTTTCTCGGTACGCATTTCACTACAGGGAGTAGTAATTTTACAGCCCCTGCTTGAGACAGGTGAGCTGCATATACGGTACGGTACTATAAGATTCAAATAGCTTCGAGAAAAAGTCGTTTCGCATTGCTAAACCTCACAAGTTTTCTTTTTCGAAATAAATTTTCGCGAAATATCGCCACCACCAAAAGTTCAAATTTCGCATTGCTAAACGTCCCTATTTATGAGAAATGGCACCGATTGCAGCGATTGTGAACAATGTACAATCAACAGCATTGACAAAAATGATGCAGAGCTGTATGGAACTTTGGTACAATTTGCCTGTATATTGGTATTTGAACACATGCCTGAAGCAGAAGAGCATACGGTAATAATGTTGACTTGTCAATTTATAGTTAAGACATGAATATGAAACCCATGACCAATGCCAATAGCCCAATGATGAAGGGTCTGCGCAATGCTGAAGGGTCTGCGCAATTACATTGTGTGTGACATTGTATACAAAAATTCCCTGTGGCATAATCGTGTACTCCATGCATACACATGCTTGAGCGGTGATATTTGTTACTGTACATGGTAAAAATCTAGTGGTGCCATGCTCCTTGGTATGTGTGCCACTATGTGTGTGTGTGTGTGTGTGTGTGTGTGTGTGTGTGTGTGTGTGTGTGTGTGTGTGTGTGTGTGTGTGTGTGTGTGTGTGTGTGTGATGTGTCTCGGCGAGTTGCTGCTGCGTCGGGTGCGTTCTGTACACTGCGGGAGTCGGTTTTCGACAGTGATGACTTCAGCATCGCCATCAAGCGCATCGTGTATGGAGTGTATGTGTGCCACTATGTGTGTGTGTGTGTGTGTGTGTGTGTGTGTGTGTGTGTGTGTGTGTGTGTGTGTGTGTGTGTGTGTGTGTGTGTGTGTGTGATGTGTCTCGGCGAGTTGCTGCTGCGTCGGGTGCGTTCTGTACACTGCGGGAGTCGGTTTTCGACAGTGATGACTTCAGCATCGCCATCAAGCGCATCGTGTATGGAGTGACTGTCCTGGCGGTCCTTTATGGATCTGAGAGTTGGACCGTCAGGCAGCGTGATGTCCGTCGCCTGGAGTCCTTTCACCTGCAGTGCGTGCATTCCATCCTGAAGATAAATCGTGGCCGGCAGATCGAGGAGCACATCTCCTCTCTCCAGGTTCGCAGGATGTGGGGCGATATGGAGGAGATCGCGGATAAAGTCAGAGTCCGCCGACTTCGATGGCTTGGCCACGTGTCCCGCATGCAAGATCGGATCCCTCGTCAGCTGCTGTACGGCGCGTTACCCTCCAAACGTCCACCGCATGGACCCCGTAAGCGCTGGAAGGACTCCGCGAAGTGCGACTTGATGGCTGTTGGCGTTCCTCTGGAGCAGCTTGGTGACATCGTCCAAGATCGACAGGGATGGCGGGTCACCTGCCGTGATGCTGTCGACGCTATTGTCCAGTCCCGCATGGAGCCTGTGGCGAAGCCCCTCATCTGTGGCACTTGTGCGCGCAGTTTTCGTCGGCTGCAGGATATTGCGAGGCACAAGTGTAACGCTGTTCGCGCGGCCCGCGCGCGCTGAGTATGGCGTTCCCCGCCCGGTGGACAACACGTCTCCTGGTCTGCCCCGTATGGGGCCACATGGCCAGTCATGGCAGTGGAAGAAGGAAGGAAGGTGTGTGTGTGTGGGGGGGGGGGGGGCGTGTCCCATATGGTGCAGTGGTATGTGCAGCGATTTTCAATCGATAGGTTGCGGGTTCGATTCCCGGCGATTATGGTCACACACGTCTTTCTTCTCTTTCTCAGGCTGTGTTTAGGCCATGGTAAAAAATAAAGTTGATTCTCAGGTCATGAGCCTGTGAAAATCGGTGCGAGCGAGCGATTTTTTATTTTAATTCCCACAATTTTTTTATTTCCAAAGATAGGGTCACACATGTGTACGTCACAGGTTCATAATTCATTTATAATTATTTTTATTATTCAGGCCAGGGAGTAGAAAAATACTGGTATTTTACTACTCCCGGATTCATGCCTTTCGCATTGACCGTTTTCATGCACGCATATGCATGCATAGAAATAAAAAAAATCGTCGGTGCGCCGCCAAAAATCGGTGCGCGCGTACTTGAGAATCAAAGATAATTTTTACCATGGCCTTACATGAGAATTTTCAACCCGGGTCAAGTTCAGCCCGGGTTGAAAGTCTGTACGATAGACAAAAGACATGAGCACATGAAGACAGTTGACCCGGGTCAAATACTGATATGCCGCCAAAAGTCCACTTTTCAGTCCTGTATGGTCACGTGAATCCGTTCGCGCGAAATTTGCATCTGCAGTGCTGTTCAAACCTGGCGCGAGATACGCACAGAAGTACGTTTGTACGATTTTCTTGACCCGGGTTGATTTCAACCCTCCCCTTAGTGGGAGGGTTGAAATCAACCCGGGTCAAGCGCAATGCGTCATGTAAACGCGCCATTCACTTTGTGTACATTATTATTATTATTATATGCATTTCCGCGGCAATGTCAGCCGCACAATGGCAACCCACATATTCGCATATGCCGGAAATAGAATGCTCTGCCAAAAACATAAATCAAATGACATCATATATATCCGTTCTGTGTAATCCAGTCAAGAGGAACATACGACGGCACAGAGTCCTCTCCACCCTGCACGGTCCCTTGCCAGGATCCGGAGGCGCTGCAAGTCACCAAGCGACACAAGCCTTCCATTATTCGTTTCCGCCAGGTCTCCCGACAGCTTTGTGACAATTGTGTACATGGCGGGTTGAAATCTGACCCGGGTTGAAACGCTTCATGTAAACACAGCCTCAGACTCTTCCTGACTTTTCTTTCATTCTCCTGGGTGGTTACCAACAGCCAGTCCATGCCAGAGTATGTGGTATGTGTGTGCAGGAAAAAAAATGAAAAGACCAAAAATAGGGATTCACTGGCCAGAAAAAGTCACTTCAAGTAGCTGTATGGTTTAGACCACCAGGCTGAATAGTGACGGTCAATTCTTCAGCCTTGCAAGCTGTTGAATGGTGCAGTCCCAAGTTGCTATGGCTTCTGCCGTAGCATTTGTTATACGCATCCCATATTTGGATCCCGACCCCGGCATGATTCCCCTACCCCTACCCTTGCATGCAGTAATTCGTACACATTCCATTACCCCTACCCTTGCATGCAGTAATTCGTACACATTCCATTACCCCCTACCCCTGCATGCAGTAGTTCATACGCACTCCATTACCCCTACCCCTAGCCCTGCATGCAGTAGTACGTACACACTTATAACCATATTTGACCCATTTCCCCGCTGCCCCTGCATGTTATAATTAGTACCGTACACATTTGTAGCCCGTTTTCCCTCCTTCTGCCCCTGCACATAAAAACCCACCGTACATTTGATCTAATTACATCCCTTTATAGTGTACATAGTCGGGCTATACACATAATAATACGCGCCCAGCTAAATGGGCGCGCTCATGCATTGTACCGTACATTCTATTCTAGTTCACTCTAAGATAACCAAACTTCGATAATCTAGTGAGAAGTCGAATCCACTCCCTAATGTTGATGTCGAATAATTCTGTCCTCGTCCTGTGAGATAATATATACTTTACCGACTCTCGTAAACTGGTATCTCTGGTGTGAAGCAATAACGGAAACCCCTTTTATAGACAACATTGGCGCCCAACTTTGGTTCCAATTACCCACTCCCTTCGCTCTACCGACTACCAACGACTACTGTAATGAATATTCCAGGTGCCTTTCATTTCCCCGCGTGAGTAACTTCGATAAGCTTGTGTATCATTTTAGTCATAAGTGCTTCTGCCTACCGTTGTGTTCTTGTTCGTTTTCCTTTTGTGTTAATTGGTGTCCTTTTGTGGTGTTTCGGGTGCATCAGACTTATCAGCCTTACTGTCTAGTGTAGCATACTTAGTACGAACCTGTTCGGTCTTCCATATTTGATCTTGAAAAAAAAAAAAAAAAAACTATTCAATATGTCAAGTCAATCTTCTTGGATAATGCCCCGTCCATTCTCAGGCAAAGAGAACGAGGATTTCGAAGCATTCTTATTAGATTTCGATAATGCTTGTGATGCCAATGGTTGGGATGATACTACCGTTCTGGCTCGGCCTGTCCGTCCAGCCCCCATAAGAACCCGAGGGGAAGCATCTGGTTCACACTATACGGTTACCCCATCTCCTGTTACGTCTACCCCGGCCCCACCTAAAGAGGCTACATTTTATACTCGGTACTCTGAAGCTTGTTCGGACGGTCCTT